TCATAGCAACCCTATGAACAAAAGATCTGAACAATTGTATAAGTTTCATCATTTCTCTAAGTTCATAGAGTTTCTGGATTCAAGCTATTTCGGAAGTATATGCTACTACTGCTTCTAAGCCTGTTTTACTTTGGGAGCTCCACCAAACACTGTTCACCTTGGGTAACCATTATCACATTTGACATGTCAGTGTCAGTGTTTAGCATCACAGCAACCACAAGTTACCTCTGTACAGCAAATGGACAGACTAGTGCTATACTACTTAGAATATTTGACTGAAAACAATTAAAACCAGGCCCAAGGGCTGCAGGCCCGAGGACCCAAATGCCTTTTTAAATAGGAGGCCAAACCAATCAATTCATGCCCAATTGTGAGCAAACATACCACACCCAAGCCTCAACCAAAACCAGAAAATTCACCTTTGTAGAATCTGGCCACTCCACTCGTCTTTCCAAACTGGATTCCAGGCCCAAACTGGTAGAAATATTAATAATTAAAATATTTTACACAAGTATTACTCTGGGAAATTGTACTGCTAACCCTTTAGGTGTGCTAACCCACATCTTTCTGGCAATTCAAATCCACTGTGGCTTTGAAAGACCAAGACTGATATTCTTCTGTGCGATTAACAACCTTGTAAACCCAATTGGGGGTGAGCTATGAGTTGGCTCTGACTTCCAGGCAATCATTTAATGAGTTAATTATTATAGACACTTTCTATATACTAATCAAAAATTTTTTACTTCTTTTGTTTTTAATATTATTGAATTGCTTGAACTGAAACATTTGCATACCATATAGTTAATCATTTTAAAGTATGAAATTCAGTGATGTATCCTATATTCCAGTTATCAAAAATTTTTTATCACCTGGCATCTTTTACTCATTAATTAATCTTCTTCTACTTCTCTTCCTGGCCATTTCTCTAGTGCCCTCTGTCACTATTGATTTGCATTTTCTTGACATATAAAAGTAATTATATAATAACTGACCTTTCGTGTCTAGTTTCTTTCACTTTGAATAATGTTTTCAAGGTTTACCCAAATTCTAGCATATATGAATATTCTATGGATGAATTATATAACACTTGTGGTAGATTAGTATTAACGAGTTGTTCTGACAACCAAAAAGCTTGTATTTCTAATCCGTCAGCTGTTTCACAGTAGAAAGATTGGTAATCTTCTTCCAATGTTATATAGCCTCTGAAAACCCATTAGAGGGTCAGCTATAAGTTGGTTCTGACTCCACATTACATAACAACAACATGAGATAGTACTTCATACCCATTATAGTAGTTTCAATCAAGAGAAGAAAAATAACACGTGTTGTTAAGAATGTGGACAAATAAGAATTCTCGTATGTTGATGGTAGGAATGTAAATGATGTAGACACTAGAAAAGAGCTTTATCATTACATAAAAGATAGACATAGGATTATGGTGAAAGGATTCCACACATCTAACACACATCTTTC